TAAACATAGCGGTTAAATGGCGCATCAGATGACTATTTGTTGTGACAGTTCTGTGACATCGCGGGTTTCCTCTGATTACTCACCAGTGGTTTAAAGCACAGCGAGGAGAGCTGAGGTCAGCTTAGATCAATTATGTCCCATCATTTGAGCATGTGCTCCTCCTGCTCTGTGACATTAATGAAGGAACAGCATGACAATCAGACGACAGAGACATAAGAGGGAGTGAGCATGAAATGCCTCAAACTCTGTAAAGGGAACCTGAATTTAATTATCCAGACATTCATTTACATTTATAGTGTGGCCTTCTCGTGTTAAGTATAACCACAAGAAGCTGTGCTGCGGTACTTTACTAACAGCTGTGAGGCTCAAGCAGGAAGGAGTTAGCTCCCTGCTGGTCAGTGAACAACACTGTTGTTGAAAATGGAAAGGAAATTTAAACCGGGGTACATAAATGGTGACAGCAATCAGCCTACTTTGATTTAGGAATGCAAAAAAGGACAACCCCCGACAGTATGTCTGATATTTTGCCTGATTTTGATCATATTCAGGAAATTATGAATTGATGTAAGTTCCCTGTGCGCATGATTCTAACATAATCCAGGATTTTTTTAAGATCTGGTCGTACAACACGAGCAATTGACTTATGCTACATTCATGTTCTCCTCGGATGGTCCAAGTTTCCAAGTTGGGAAATCGTTCTTCCGACTCTCGTGTTTTCAGGTTTTCAGTTGGGAAAGTCTGAATGTTGTAACATGAACAGCAAACTATGTGGATGATGCTTACGAAGAAGATGTTAGGAATGTCTCTGTTACAAGTTATATTTGAGGAAAAGGTTGACGTGCAATACTTGAATTAATAAATCTTAACATTTACAACAACAACAAAAATTTGCCCCCCTTGTTGATGATGAATATGAACTGAAGTCGACAGGTCAGGGCACCTGGTTTGCAGAATTTTCGCGTTGTTGTTTCCGACTTCACTCGCCACCGCGGACAAAGCAGCGGGAGCAACTAGGACTTAAGTGTCTAACCCAAAGACACATCGCACATGTGGCTGCAGGAGCTGGGGATCAAACCCCGAACCTTCTGGTTGAGAGACAACTGACTCAACCAACTGAGCCACAGCCAAACAATGAAAGAGTATGAACACTTAAAGATAAAAACCGGACCGACCTTTAAGGTTATTGCTCTTAATGTTTAAACTGACATTTAAAATTGTTGTCTGTGTCTGCACTTTTTGTGTCTCCTCCCATCTTAGGGGCCCAACATTTATATTTCTGTTCATTTTGAGCTGATGATTCTCCCTAAATATTCAGCACAGGGTACTACTGTTACAAATGACAATAGGGTTATATACAGTAAGGAGCATACAAGCAGACACTAGCCAGATCCCCGAGCAGACAAGAAAACACCTGCTTTAATTGTCACCTTGGGGCTGCAACCAAGGCTACAAACACCCTTGAATGCATCCCATGTGTGCCTGGCTCCCAGTATATCAATGCAGGCCTGCTAGTATGGCAGAAGCTAGCACAGTTTCCATAGTAACACTCTGCACAAGCCTTCCTCCGCCTCCCATACCCCGCTCTTGCTCTACTCGATGCAGGAAGTGCCGTGATGGAGGATGCCGTGCGATACTCTCCAGCGTGGCACATTAACCTACTTCCTCACCAGACCGGGAAAATAACCCGGACGCAGAACGTGACAGCGAGGAGAGAGAAGGAGACAAAAAAAAGGAGGGTGGATGGAGGAAAGGACGAGGAAGAAAAAGAGAAAGGAAAGGAAGGACGGTGACGGGAAGGTAGAAATGAAAGGGGATAAGGAAAAGGATAGATGGGAGATAGGGAAGAATGGTGGAGATACAGAAGGGATGGAGAGAAGGGAACAGAAAAAATTATGAAGGGGAGAGACGGAAAAGAAAAAAGAGCAAAGGACAGAGAGAAGGAGAAAGTGAAAGAAGAGGAGAAGGGTGGAATGCAGTGTGAGATTGTTAATGAATACTGTTGTGTGTAAATCTACACAAAAATAATGAGCTTGCATTAATTATTTCACGTTATTATCTACTGAAGGATCGTCATGTTTTAGATTGCATTCTTGTAAATGATTCAAAATGTAACACAGATAATCCAATTTTGGTCCCTGCAAATATTCACTCAGATCAACCAAACACAAACACACGCTGCACGGATGAACAACTAATGTATGCAGTGATACAGAGAATCTCCTGATTGACTAAACTCTGTTAAATATATCTTTGAATAGGCTGAAAACCGCAGAAAACCCAACACTAATCGTACTCAACGACTCCCCCACTTGCCCCCTGATGACACACTTTCTCCTCTGCCCATGTGCAGAGCATCCCCCTGCATCCCTCTGCTCGCAGCGGTCCTGATGAGAGGATGGAGATCCCCTGCCTCTCATTCATCTGCTCTGCATCCCGCCACAAATTACACTAATAGGATTTTCAGAAAAGGCAGAAACCTCATCGTCCACGTAACTCTTGAGCCGTCAGCACAGGGATACTCAAACAGAAGAGAGGAGACGCTCGAGAAAATGAAAGCTCCTCTGGATAGAACCATCCAAAGAGGTAAAGATGCTGAAAGCAATATGAGGGAAGGGAGAAATGTGAGGACTTACCGACATGAGTGATGACACACTCCACCCTCTGTAGCAGCTCCTGGACCGACATCTCGTCTTCTCTCAGCCAGCACAGCATCTCACGGTGTTGGTCGCATCCACTCTCCCCCGCCTCTCTCTCTCTCACTGCTCTCTCTCTCTCTCTCTCTCTCCGCTGCCACGCCTCCTCTCGTCACCGTTGCTTCCCCGACAATCTCGCCTTCTTACCTAATGTAATTTTCACCTCTTTTTTATTTGCACCTCCTTTTTCTTTATTCTTTTTCTTTCTTTTTTTTTATATTGAACCCCTCCTCTTCATCATCTCTCACGCGAAGAAAAAGTCAGGAAGGCTGGGGCTGACGGTGATGATGCCACTCCCAGTCAGTCAGCAAAAATAGTAAGCATGGGAATAAAATAAACAGTTTGTCAACCAGGCACGGGTTCAAGAACCAAGACAGACAGTGTGGTAATAATACAGCACAGCTGCCAAGTCGTCCAATCAGACAATAAAATAAGCAGTCAGCCGTGTTTGGTGAACAAATAGCTCCATCATTTGCTTGTCAGTTTACACAGCAGCCAGTTAATAAGTCAGTGAACAAAAGAGACAATTACTTTGTTAGCGGGTCAGTCTGCAAACTAGACAGTAAGTGGAAAAATAGACAGAAAATTGAGCCACTTTGTTAATCTGTAAGAGAAAAAAATCAGACGCTTTGAAAAAAGTGAACAAAAAATAGTCACCCACTGATTGAGTCCTTTTCTTGAAGCTGGAATAAAATATCCACAAAGCAAAATGAAGTCTGCAACTCCAAAATACAATATTCCACAAAATAGACAGAAAATTGAGCCACTTTGTTAATCTGTAAGAGAAAAAAATCAGACGCTTTGAAAAAAGTGAACAAAAAATAGTCACCCACTGATTGAGTCCTTTTCTTGAAGCTGGAATAAAATATCCACAAAGCAAAATGAAGTCTGCAACTCCAAAATACAATATTCCACACTGCAAAAAAAATAAGAAAAATCAAAAAAGGAAGAGGAGGAAAGGATGCTCCTTCAGAAGAGAGGTAAAGACAAAAATGTATATTTGTTGTTGGTCCTCTCCACTCATAGGGACACTCCTCTTGCTCTGTGTAGGAAACCACTGCTGCTGCTTTGATGAGGCTCTGTTTGCTCTAATAAAGAAGCTGAGTCACAATGAGAGAAAACGAATCAGAGGGCTGCTACCTGCCTGCGGGGCGGGGGGAGATACAGAAACAGAAGGGAGGGTAGGGGGGTTAATAGGTCCATGAGAGAAATCCTGGTGCCTGGAGCTGGGCTGTAAACGGATTGGAGCTCATGACTGATCTCTAAATTGAAACATTTCCTGAGATTGATTTGATTTCAGGGAGAGGAAATATCCGAGAGAATGGTTTAAAAATCAGCATTGTTTTTGTAAGTCACTTAAAAGACAATGTCCTCGCCGGGCAGCTCTTATTTCCCCATCATTATGGCACGAGGGCTCGCTCAAACAAAACAAATCAATAGCCTCCACCCATCATTTATCATTGATGTCCCTGGGTTCATTCAGTGCTACCAGAGGCCACTCCTCTGATCCCGCTCCGTGTTTTGATTCAGGCAAACAATGCCAGACAAGGGGGCAGTGGGCAGTGTGTGTGTGTGTGTGTGTGTGGGGGGGCATTAGCATCTCTTCGTGAGCCAATGCCTCCTGGGACTGTGAAGATTTCCTGAGAGACGAGCATTAGCTGGAGACATCTGCACTCAGCCTCACCCTGCCTCTCACTTATCATCACAGCCAATTACAGGCCCTACACTGAAGGCTGTCCAACAACAGAAACAGCAGCTGGCAGACAAAGCAAAGCAGGGCACAATGCTGGCAGGAGTGTGATGTATATGCAAATGGGATAATTAAATGAATAAATACCATTGTGCTCATATGTGCACCATCATTGACTAAGCTTTTCTTTTTGTAAATTCCAAAATTAACAAATAATTGACCAAAAATGGCATGTTAAGGTGTATAATATGATTCATGTTATCACAACAAATATTCATGTAGAAAATATTGTAGTACAAAATACATTGAGATTAGATAATCCTTTATTGATCCCCTGTGGGGAAATTTAAGTGTTGCAGCAGTAAAAAGACAAGAAGAGCATGCTTATGAGTTCATGAGACAGGAATAAAATAAAAAATAACAATTTACTAGAGATTTTAAACAAAATACGTATATACAGGACATTCAGGGAGTTCATAGGTGTGGAGAGACTAGAGGAGAGGAGGAGACAAGAGATGGGAGGAGGGGAGAAACAATAAAGCGAAAGGATGGTGCTGGTGGGCGGGGCCAACTCCAACATCCGCTGTTTCTGATTGGACGCCGCGAGATGTCGTCGCCGGAAGTTGATTCCTCAGCCATGGCGGGAAGAACACACAGCTAGTGAGTGCTGAGCATGTCAACAAGCTGACTCTACCGAGCACCAAGACAACGAGATATCAGGATATATATATATAAATATATGTGTGTTGGGTTTCGACACGCAGTAACGACGACTGCAGGATTTTGAACTGGGCGCAGAGTTCGTCTTAATATTGATGTTTAAAGTAAGTGCGACGTGTCTGTCTTAAAGAACTACAGCTAGCTAACACTGGCTAACAGCACACAGACAAGCAGTGGCTACTTGCAACGCGAGTTGTCTTTAAAGTATTGCACCTTACGCTTTGTGTACATTATCTGTTTCACAGTATAACAGTGCAAAAAAAACATTTCTCAGCATAGATTATAACCGTGCGGCTGCTGAGCTCCGTGCAGAAACTATCATTACAGTTTCTATTTCCTCACATTTGAAGGGGCTTAACACGATGTAGAAGAGCGTTTAATGCCAATTTAATATCCTCATTAGTATCAGCTACTACAGTTATGATGGGAAAATTAGAGAGCAATCTGTGCATAGGTAAGCCTCTTGGAGTTACCACTCTTGTAAATATAACACGACACCAGTGATATCAGCGTCTGTGGTGTGATTCTGAGATATGAGTTTGATGAATAAGGCTGTAATAATGTTCATTGAAAGGCTGAGGAGGAGGGATACATGTTGTGAAAAGTCCCAGTGGTGCTGTTCTCTTCACCTCTTGTCCAATCAGATTGCTTGGTCTGAACCAGTGCCCTCTAAAAAAAAAAAAAAAAATACATTACTGGATCTCCTCTGCACAGCACGGTCAGTAATATGTTGGTGCAGGTGATGTGCAGAAAACATCATGTTGACAGCAAATGAGAAAATCCACCGCACACAAGAACACGTTTTGCTTGCATGCCTTTTCCATTTGAGACGGAAAGTAATTCTGCCCTCTTGTTTGCAGTGAGTCTTCTCATGTTTTCTGCCATCGCATACACCAAGAAGGACTGACAGCGCCGTGTTTTTATGTAAAGCAGTGTTAACTAATCCATTCATACACACTCGTACGCCATCGACGGAGCAGCGGCAGCAGTTAAGGGTTAAGCGTCTTGCCCAAGGACACATCAGAGCTGGGGATCGAACCCCCGACCTTCCAGTTGAGAGATGACCGACTCTCCCACTAAGCCACAGCTGCCTGTGTCTTGTTTCCATCACACTGTTTGCATTGTTCTTCTACATGTTGACTGCTTTCTCTCTCAGCTTCTTTTTGCTTCTGTTGATAATAACTTTTTTTTTCTTTTTAACTCCAGGTGTTTCTGCTGCTCTAAGAAAAAAAAAACAAGCGGAGTCATGCAGGCGTTTCTGAAAGGAGCAACTATCCAGTCGACCAGACCTCAGAAAGACAAGGCAGCAGCTGGACCCAGCACAGAGAAGAGAGCTAAGGCGGTTCCATGGGTGGAAAAATAGTAAGTTTGAACCACAATGTGGAAAGTAAAAGTATTGTAACGGTAATTTTTCTGCTAACCCACCAGAATTAGGGCTGCATGAGTAATAATCGTGAATAAGTCACAATCTCGTCTCTCACATATGTGCGATCTCATTTCTGCATGATGCCGATTCTCTTATTCTCCTATTTCCCTCACAAGCTGCACTTGCGTCAGTGTTACCCACAAATAGACGATACTCGAGAAAGCGAGAGAGAGAGATCCTTTTTCCGTACGTCCCTCCTGTTAATGCACCAGAATGTGCAGCGCTCGTCTCATATCAAAATATTCTCATGACTTGGTTTTATTGTGTTTCTGCAGCTGCTTGCTGCCAATATGATTATGCTCTTCTTAGTTTTGCTGCATCTTGATAACAAGCCTACGCATCAGGCTCACCTGTTGTCAAAACATAGACGCAAGAGAAACTTTGTGAAAGTGAAGTTGTGTTGCACGCAATCTCTGAAGGTTCAGTTAAGAAAAAATAAAAAGCTGTTTGCAAATCCGTAGTCACGCTTTACAAGCCTGTTGTCCTGATTAGCAAACAGTTGGCCCGATTTCATAAACAGTGCGCAAAATTCATGGACTCAGTGAGGTTTGTTTATTATTTCAATGCAGCGCGGCATGTCAGCTCGCTCTCTCTCTCTCTCTCCGTGTGCGCACGTTCATTGGGCGCGCAAGCAGGTGCAAGTGGGTCTGTAATGAGTCCCGACCCCTCTTAAAACAAGACCAAAACAGGAACCCAGAACCCACCCTTACAAGTTCTAATATCATACTAAATGATATGTCAGCTATACATCGGTTACTAGTTTGAAGCTACAGCTTTATACATTCTGCAGGGCTAGAATAGTGCAGAAACACTACAACTCTCCAGTCCACATGTTAATAAAATAATTCAAATGAATGCATTCATCATTGTGTGAACATGTGTCTGATGAACACTGAATGAGATTTGATACTACAAAAAAAGGACAAAAAGACGAGATCATAATCATAAAGTTGTGAAGAAAAGACACACATTGGTGTATACAAAATGATTAGAATGCAGGAAAAGAAAAAGACCCCAAGATAATGTTTTTACTTAAAAGCTGAAAAAATAAGAATCATGGTGATTCACATTTGAAGTAGAATCGTGCAGCCCTAATCAGAATCATAAGTACAGAATAACTGCACAGATCCTCCATTGCATATTTTGTACATTTTGTGTTTTGTTGTATATATTAAGTTGTATATTATATATATTTTCATCTATGCTGTGTAAGTATTAACTCAGTTTGTGTCTTTGCAAACCTCAGCAGGCCTAAGTGTGTGGATGAGGTGGCCTTTCAGGAGGAGGTGGTAGCCGTGCTGAAGAAGTCTCTGGAAGGAGCAGATGTGAGTCTGATGATGTGATGTCTTTTGAATGTCGTCAGTTCAGAACCCACTCTGCATCCAAGTCGGATGTTTTGAGTATCAAGCATTAAAAAAGGTTTTCATAGGAGGGTTAGGACAGGCAGGGCAATGCAGCAAAAGTGTGAAGGGTGTTCTCCCTCCTCTGGAGGGTCTGGAGGTCCCTCCCTCTCACATGTGCACACCTTAAACAGGCGGTTCTGCAAGTGGCAAGCCCCCTCCTGAGGGTCTAGAGGCTGCTGCTGCAAAATAAACCCTCCCTCTCCCTCCATCCTATCCTCAAATCAACAGCAGTTGACCTTTGATCCCAAAACCTCAGCTGCGGTGCATCACCCCACAACATAAACATTAAACAACCTCTCACCTGTCACACCACAACATGAATACACATCATCATAGTCAACACATACCATACACACTGCTCAGTCCTCTCTTCTCCCTCTCAAATCCAGCTTACAAAAGCACCGTCTCTCCCTCTCTTGCTTCTTTCCCTTCTTGTATCCCTTTTCATGTACTTCGTATAGTTTTTATGTCTTTGCTGGTTGTAGTCTATATCAGCTGATGTCTCTGTATTTTGCAGTATTTTTCTTTATTTTTTTATTTGCTGTCCTCCTGTTCTGTTTTGTTTGTATCGTCTAGCACTTGTACTGATTTGACAATTGCACTATTAAATAAAATAAAAACAGTTTTCATAAATCTGAAATCAGAGCTCTGCTGATAATACCTAACTCCATCTGTCTCACAGTTTGGACCTCAGTAGATTAAGCCTGGTGCTAAACCCAAGATTATTCCTCAGTCAACAACTTTAAATCTGTATATCTATATTTATTCAGCACGAGGAGGAGGAATCATGAAGCTGTGATAAAGGAGTATTTCTGTTTCGTTGCAAAATGAGAAGAATGCAAATTCTCAATGTTTGTCTGTTTTTTTTTTGATTACAGCTTCCCAACCTGCTCTTCTACGGACCGCCTGGAACAGGAAAAACGTCCACCATCTTAGCTGCTGCAAGAGAACTTTATGGGTCAGTGCAATGTCAGTGGTGATGTGGGCAAGAAGGAGAGGCTTCTGCTTTTTGCATTTCCAGAAAGCTCTGTCACATTTAATGTAGATCATCTGTTTTCTGCTCCTGTGTTTATCCCGTCCTTCTTCTGTGACTCTCCTGCAGTCCAGAGCTGTACAGGCAGAGGGTGCTGGAGCTCAATGCGTCGGATGAACGTGGTATCCAGGTCGTCAGAGAGAAGGTCAAGAACTTTGCTCAGCTCACTGTGGCTGGCTCTCGCACAGAGTGAGTTAGGATAAAGACGGGGACATGTCTTCAAAGTTTCTCTGTAACAACTATCAGAGGTTGACAGTCTTAGACAGTTTGACATGTATCTCTTGGACTGAAAAAAAAAAAGCGTCTGTGTCTGTCTTTACTTTTAGTGGGAAGCCATGTCCTCCTTTTAAGATCATCATCCTGGATGAGGCGGACTCGATGACGGCTCCGGCTCAGGCTGCTCTCAGGCGAACGATGGAAAAGGAGTCCAGAACGACCCGCTTCTGCCTCATCTGTAACTACATCAGCAGGTCGGCTAGCTTCTCACTGTCATCACACCACAAACACACTCTGTATTCAACAGACACTAACCTTACTGGGTGTTTTTTTTTGTTTTTGTTTAGGATTATAGAGCCTCTGACCTCCAGATGTTCAAAGTTTCGCTTCAAACCTCTGGCCAATCAGATCCAAGAACAACGCTTGCTGGAGATCTGTGGGAAGGAGAACCTGAAATACACCAAAGAGGTAAAAGAGAACCAATCAAACCCTTTTCTCAATCGCAGATGTTTTGTTGGCTCATTTGAGCATCTCGTAAAGATGTTAAAGTTGAGGTGCCAGGGCGTCAACACCAACAATCTCTCTTAAGTGGGCAGCCTGGGTTCAAGTCCGACCCGCGGCTCCTTTCCCTCATGTCGTTCCCCGTCTCTCTCTCTCTCTCTCTCTGCCTCTGCCTCTGCCTGATTTAAAGTCTGTTGATAAGTGCAGAGGAGAGGAGCAGCGAGGCCACCATCTCCCTTTTATAGTTTCTGTTAGTTAAGCCTTTCAGATTGTTGAAAGTTAAACACCACTGCACAATAATTGACGCCCCTAACATGTCCAAAATCACAAGACAAATAGAAAACACAAAAACAGAGAGCACCTTCTCTGCATGAATAGACATCTTCTCTTGGATTTTAAGCTATTGTTCAGAGGGGGGAATATTTGAATCTCTACATTTTATTTAAGGCAGGAGATCTTATATTTGATGAGACTTTCACAAACCAGAGGACTAAACCTCTTTTTAGAACTTTTGGAAATTAAGTGGATGCATGTCTGTAAAATGTGTTATAAATGTATTCAAAGCTTGTTATGCATAGAGAGGCCACTAGGGGGCATCTGGTGTCAAAAAGTTGTGTCTGAGTCAACCTTCAGGCATCAAAACAGTTCCTGCTAAAATAGTTTTTTTTTAATGTCATTTTGTTTTATGTTACTTTATTATTATTTTTATTTAGAGTCCATGTTTAATATCCAGGTGGGGGCTCTCCCACCTACTAAGTTTACACCTTACACCAAATATATGGTGTGAGCTGCATGCAATGTAGGCCCTGTTTTCACCCAATCTTTTTTTTTCTTAGCATGAGCGTGTCTTTTTTCAATTTTCGTTTTGAATGAAGAGAGAGCGTTGGCAGCAGCAGGTGGAGTGCCCAGCACCTTTGTTCCAAGCGCTCTGCCTATTTTGTGCAGCCCCTCCGAGCGCTTGAGTTGAAAATCTTTTAACTTTTTAGAGCTGTTTACGTCATTGGCCCTCTTTTCAAAATACAAGATATTCCCCGTATTTTTGATGTCTATGGGTCGTGTCTTCTATCCATTGCTCTGTGTCTGATCGGGAAATAATCCATCTGAAATATAAAACATACAAAAAAGCATTGTCGGTCATAAAGCGGACATTGTCAACAGACTGTTGTCTTAGAGTCATGCAGCACTTTTCTTCTCAGCACACGGTTTGATGATTGTTTCTGTACTTCTAGAGTATCGCAGCTTTGGTGAAGGTGTCAGAGGGAGACCTGCGCAAAGCCATCACCTTCCTCCAGAGTGCCGCACGCCTCAATACGGACAAGGAGATCACAGAGCGCTGCATTATTGAAATAGCCGGGGTAAGGCCGTCTTCTTTGAGCTTTGAGAAACTAATTTATTGACTGTAGTTTAACACACACCTGCACGCCTGAAAACCTGCTTTACTGCATTCCCTTCATATCTCACTGTTTGTTTTGCTCTCCTCAAGGTCGTCCCTGACAAGATGATTGACAACCTGCTCCAGATCTGCTTCAAAGGAACGTTTGAGAAACTTGAGATCGCGGTCAAGGTAGGCGTTGACATGTCTGAGCATGAATTTGTGTTCATGCCAGTTCTCATATAGATAGTATCTATTCCAAAGAAGTAAAGACAGAGTATCTGTGATGTATGTTTGAAGTTTTCATGCTGTAGGTGTGTATGCCTCACATGTTTAATACTTCCTCTTTTAGGACATTGTGGATGAAGGTTATGCAGCCACACAGATCCTGACTCAGCTCCATGAGTCCGTCATCGAGCGAGACCTGAGCGACAAGCAGAAGTCGGCCATCACAGAGAAGATGGCGGTGAGTGAATGTAATGGAGCTCCAGGAACCAGAGAATGCACAGTGGTCTAGTCACATTTTTATTCAAATTTGAATACTGTCTTAGAGGGCTTTTATGAAACACTGTTGTGTTTTTTAAGGAGGTTTTTCAAGTAATTTCTAATACTCCCTCATTAGCTCAAAATCCTACATTTAAAGCAAACAGTGGTATACTGTTTAGTAAATAAATGTGATGGAGTGCTGGACTGATTGAAAGTCTCCTCAATTGTACCGTGCTTAAGCATGATCACCCCCCCTAGTGCGCCCTTATAAACCAGTGCCACTTATATTCCAGACTTACGGTAAATATGAGCTCAAGATTTCGGGGCACAAGCGATATTGTACACTCCATATTTAATAAGGGAGAAGACAAGTCTTCAAAACACACAATGCATCAGAGTATATGTCGTTTTAATTTTCAATAACGAATAAAAAACAATCGAGCGTCAGCACGGTACGGGACATCTCGGCCTAGTGCGAGTGCTCCCAAAAATATAAAAACTTCCAAGGCACGTCAGAGTTTATACTGTGAGTTTGTTGTTGGCCGTGAGTAGTGAAATAGTCCAAAAAAAAATCTACACAATGCAAGCGATGAGCTGAGGTCCGCTTTTAGACCAATGGTGCTCGTGCATGTAAGTGAGGGGCGTGGCTTTAAGGGAGCACAGAGGGGAGGGGGTGGGTGTAGACTGAGCACTGAAAGAATGCTGCTTTCAAAATTCTGCTAGTTTTTTTTTAAACTGACCAACCCTGCCTTTAAGTATAAAGTTAAAGGGCTCCTTTCCCTCGGGTTTCTGAAACAGGAACATTCTCGCTGTGAGGAAACATGGCTAACCACTGAGCCAGCTTGCAGCATCCTTTTACTGTTGACTCATAAACTTCTTTTATCAGTCAACCTTTTGAAACTTGTTTATTACTTCATAGTTCATTCACAGTGAAACTTGATCTATACATAATTTAGTGATAAAACAAGGATTTCACTCAGGACACTTAAGGAGCAGGTTGAGACTGTACTCTTTGATGTATTGATTTAAAGTGCTTTACTGATATATGCAATTAAGTTTGCTCAAGTGGTATCTTCTGTTAGACACAGCAGCTATCTGCAGTTCTGCAAAAAACAAACAAGAACTCAACTGTGCTTTACTTATTTTGTTAATGCCTTGTTATACTCTGATATTAAATGCTTAAGTTAACTCCCTTCAGATAAATAAGATTTACTTTATTGTCCCTTAAGAGAAATCTATCTTTGACTCTGTCCTGCGAGAGAACTAAAAATACACAAATACTGATCATACAAAACATGTAACAATATATATTATATATATGTATATGTATTTCGAATTCGATTCTTGGGGTCACGATTGGATTTAGAATCTATTTTCAATTCAAAACGTTTCTGGATTCATGGATTCAAAGTCTATTTTTAAATTAAAGTACACACTTCAGAATCTGCTCCAGTCATCTGTGAGTCTGGCTGAATTTATTGCTGGCTGCTCCATTTGGCATTCTACTGAGTTAAAGAGCTAGCATTAGCACTCAGCAGGGAGTAAGAGATTAGCCCATAAAAAGATGAATCTTTGAAAGTAAGAATCTCGATTTTTAAATAAATTGATTTTTTCCCCCACCTCTAATGTATACCTTGAATAAATGCTCAGTATGTTTGTCTTCTCCTTTCTGTTTCAGGTGGTTGGTAAGTGCCTGTCGGATGGTGCAGATGAGTACCTGCAGATATTGAGTTTGTGTTCAGTCATGATGCAGCAGGCGTCCCAGAACAACTGAAAGTCAACAGAGGAGCATCTCTCTTGGAGAGACACTGAGAGAATCAGGACCAAAAGCCTCACAGAGACACACAGAGACATAAAGCACTTCAGCCAGATTCAGCTGGGTTTGAGGATTTCATCGAGGGAATTCAAGATGACAGTGATGTTTTCCATCAAAGACCAACAGATCTCCACTCTGGAAGGAGCACTTTCTGATGCTCTTGAATCACCAATCTAATGCTTCTTTATTTCTTTTCATTCATGTTACTACTACTACATAGATCTTGGTTTGATCTATTTTTGGATTTTTGTAATTTGGAAAGTAATAAATAGTTTTTGTATCTTTTCATTGTCTGTTTCCTTGAAGTCATTTGTCAGGATTAAGAAGTTCACTTCACGGTTCTCTCTAAAGACCTCAGTAACTACGTTGAGAAACTAGTGTCAGTATTGTTATTATAATGTGCATGTCTTCATGATCTATTTTACCTTAACCTATAACTCTATTTCCAATGTGAGCTCTAAGCTAATCCAGTCAACCATCAGTGATGTCTTATATGGCAACAGATTCCGATCATTCAGTGTTTTAATGGTAGTTATTCTACGGCTACCAAATATCACATGCAGAGTCCTACTGGGGTCGCTAAGTTGTATCCCAATGTATCAAGTGAATTAGCAATTTTAAGTTTTAAAGCAAACTTTATATTGTGTGCACAATATAACTTGTGGGAAGAAGATAATTATGTTGTGCGCACAATCTATATAAACATCGCACTAAAAGTAAGGACATTTGTGTGGTAGATTATTTTTTGTTGCTTCTTGGTGATAAATATTATACTGTTGGAAAGCCTGTTTTTTTTCTCCCTTTTTTGCCACATTTGTAAGGAACATATGTTTGTGGGATGAGCAGCAGAGCTGAGTAGTTTGGTTGCGCCCATGAAAAACTTGCCAAATCTTCTCTGCCAATGCCAAACAGCTTAGGCCTCTTCTGCTGTTGCTTTGAGGCAATGTTATGTTCAGCGATGAGTCCAGGGGTACGGTCAAAGAAGTGTAGGAGACACGGAGAACGCTATGCTGATTGCTGCACCGATAGGGTAACAACAGCTTTTGGTGGAGGCACTGTGATGGCGTGGGGCGGCATCTCCCTCAATGGAAAAACGAGGCTTCTCATTGGAGGCGATCTCAATGCAGACAAGATATCGAGATAAGATTCTGCAACCAGTGGCAATCCCATATCTCCGCAGTCTGGGACTGAACTCTATCCTCCAAGATGACAATGCTCGCCCACACAGAGCGGGGTTTATCAGAGACTACCTCCAGAATTTGGGAGTGGAGAGGATGGAATGGCCTGCCTGCAGTTATGACCTCAACTCAACACTTTGTCCAATGTTTATTTTATTTTTGTACTTTCCAGGACTTCAGGGACACTGCAGAATATCTGTATTTCAAATTGTGCTTTTTATTTCTATTTTCAAAATGTTTATGGTTGATCAAGACTGCTAAAAAAAAACCTCTTAAGAAATAAATAAAAACGCTGGTTTGGTTTATTTTTACAGTCTATGGTTTAGACCCGCCGCCGCAGCACCGCGCACACGGGTTTCCATGACGACGCGGGGAGGGGTAGCGTTAACACCCACCGGAAACGGGCGCTGCAGTGCCAGCAGAAAATGAAAAGGAGGCGGACTTCATATCTGTTTTATTGAGTTTCTTTTTTTTCTTCTGTCATATCTCATCCCGCACGCACTGTGGGGCTGCTGAATTCCTAAAAAAAAAAAAAAAAAAGCGCGGAACCAGCGTGGAGACCCCTCGCTGGTGGGCATGACTCTGGACTCCGGTTTGCTGATAAAGTGCACCGACTTGTTTTGGAAACATCGCACCGGCCGAGAGAAGACTGTGTGTGGGAGACGGCAGAGCGGTCCTGCCCCCCTTTCAATGACCAACCTTCAGTGCCAGTGGTAAAAGCCTCGCTGGTTGGTTACCATGGACAGCTACCACGAGTAGAGATGCTGCCTTGCGCCTGGTCTGTAGAGTAACGCTTTCATCATGCCCGACCGGCGGTGCTCCACCTCGAGGGTCTCGGTTGCCTGATATTAACGTTACGGGCCTGCTTTTTCCATCTGGAAATTTCTTGGCAGGGGGGGAAAGCAGGCCAGCTAGCACCGCTAGCGTTAGCCTTCTCCTTTCTGCACCTCTGGGCTTTTTAATGCAGCAGGGGTTTCCATGACTACACAATCGAAACCCCCTTTCTTCCCCTGTCACTCCGAGGACATTTTTTAATCCACCGAGGCATTTTATGGGATTCATATCGGCGAAAGAGACGCGGGCCTGAGCCAAAATGGTGAACTGGAGGCGGCTGCTGCGAATGTCCAACCGATCGTTTCTGGCCTTCATATTCTTCTTCTCCATGTCCACCACTTGTCTCTACTTCATCTACGTGGCCCCCGGGATAGGTCAGTGAACAGCGATTAACTCTAAACGCCTCATGCGGCGACACTTAATGTGATTATGTGTTGGATTATCTCACGCAGCTCACTAAACTCCAGCTGCTGTCAAAGCCCATGCTAATGCTAACTAGCCCGCAGTTTAAAGGTCCAACCCAGAGGCATGATGATGTCCACTTAGCCCTGACTGGTTTGTGATGTTTAAACAACATGCAACCTCCTCCTGAGGCAAGCTAGTTTATTTGAAACAACATGTTCCTTTTTGTTTTGAATATGTGGGTAGTATGCGAACTAGCTGGCGTGTGAATGAATGAACTGTGGTCTTTACTGCTGATGGTAATTTCAGGGATTCCCAGCATCAACACAGTCAAGCTGAGCTAACCCATGACCAGGATTTAGACTTTCACTGGTACTAATCAGTGGGTCAAAATCAACCACAATTTACCAACCCAAATGTTCCCAGTTTAATTTGATTTCAGGATCAATTTTCTGTTTTGTCGTGTTGGTTTAGAAGTCTTACTCGTACATAATATCATATGGCAGATGTATGCGACTTTGAGTTTTTCTTGCATGCATTTAAACATACTAACTTCATAATCTGACAGGTAAAAAGAAATTGAGCCCGGCTGTGCTTGATATTTGCATATCAAGTAAATATCTGTCGGTTAACTTTAAAGCAGACATGCTCTTATATTACTACTTAATTTACCAGTAGCATTTCATTTGAGTGTCATTGTATAACACTTGAAGTTGTCTTTCTGGCTGTCACCAGCAAAGTGTGCTGTATGGATGACAACAAGCATTATTTATCACTCTCCAGAGTGTCCAGTGGTGATGCTCGTACACAAGCAGTTACTTACCATCTTGTCTTCATCATAGTATCTTTTCCACAAGTGTTTGATCACTGCATTTGAGAGATCAACGCAATAAACATTTATCTGTCTGTACAGATCGATGTAAGAAATATCGGCCAATATATCTGTATCAAATTTTTCCCTCGCCCTATTATCCATATCGGTTGGGCCATAGAGTAAAAAAACAATAATTTAACAGTTCGCATAGCAGGTTCACAGTAAAATACAGCCTGTGGTTTTGAGTAATCTGCTCTGTGTCATGTTATTGCAGTCCCCACATAATGTTGAGAAAGAAAGTCTGAGTGTTGTTGCCCACATCCTCCTTGTCTCAGGTGCAGACTTGACAGCCCCAAGTTTGCTTTGCGCGGTGCATATTGCTGTTGTTGACGTGAAGTTTAACTAGGTCTTTTCTCTTCTGATCACATGCTTGAGAAAGTGGCCGTGTGCCGACAGGAATTATATGCTCTTAGTGCAGGCTTTTACTGGCAGTCAGAGCTAGTCATGCTTGGGAGGAATGACAGTTCTGGGAAATTTCACTCAAGAATTAAGATAGCCTGAGGTCCAGCAGCAGTGCTGTAGATAAAGTGATAAGGATGCCAAGAAAAGATGGGATTGTGTCTGTATTAATGCTGTATTACATGGTGGGAACGTCTTGTTTTTTCAGCATGTGTACTTAGATTTATGCAGTATAGTTTTGTGTTAGCATTTTTTTTTTAAGCTGCTCATGCAATACCGCGAAAATGCGATCTCACAAAGACACATTTATTCATTTTGTGTCGGGCTAATTTAGGTTTAAATTGACATGAAGCAGTGAATTTTACCGACCCAAACCATATCCTTAGAGTGGAGAGGAAACGTATCCTCCCACAACACCTAATGAAAGCTTTGTGTTGTTTTGTTTTTTATAATCAATCTCTGCCCCTGGTTTACAACTACAGGCAGTAAATGTAGTGTTTGCAATATTGACCAAAAAAAAAGTCTCAATATTTTGGAGGATTTTGCCCATAACAATAATCGACGATATTTTGCAACCCTCCAAAATGTGTTAGTAAAAGTCTTCTAATGTACTATATCACTCTTGTTCATAGTTAATTAGATGTTTTTAATAATTTATATTTAAACAAACTTATAAAATAGGTCTCATTCACTAACTTAGAGCTGAGTCATTTAAATACAATAAACAAAAATACTTAAATCACCAGAGCTAGTATTGAGATCAAACAGTGCAAGTATGGGTAAACAATTTCTAAGTGGCCGACAGGATTTACTTTGTAAAATATATCACAAGAGTGTTTCAAACCAGGCTTTGCGGGGTGTAAGTTGGGTCCAAAGTAGTCAAAATAAGTTTGAAACCCTCTCTCTTGACTGCTTGAATTGGCTGTCTCGGTTTGTTAGTGTTTGTTATGTCTTGTCCTTCTTTTAATGAGTCGTGGTTGACCGCTCACTCATCAGCTTGTCATGTTCTAAATATTCTGTGTTTAGTGGTTCGGTGGTTAATTTGCAGCTGCTGCAACAATTTGTTTTCGACAACTTTCCGCTGTACTGGTGCAGATACTTATCTTTTAGGCAACTTCCACCTTTGAAGCCAAACCACCTCCCTGGAAATGAGCATGAGCCACGTCTAGCAACACAGTCTAATGTCATTGATTCTGAGGCTGGTTGTGTTTGTGTATTGTCTCCTGGCGCTGTTTGATTACTCATGTCAGCCACCTTGGCTTATTGTGACGCTCGGACGCTGCATGTGTTCTCTTGATCATATGCAGGGAAGGTGTGTGGACTCTCTTGCAAATAGAGGCACTACATGTTTCAATCCCGGAGCTATGGCTGTGGTGTTATTGTGAACTGCACCATAGGTCAACTGTCTTTCAAAACTGTCATCACAGCTTTGCAGCCATATCGGATCTGTAACATCTGCAGCGATATATGTATCTGCAAGGAGCACATAACGATATAATGCCATATTGATTTTTTTGAGGACAGCCCTAATATGAGGTATAAATATGTCTGCAGTTCCTGGCTGCTTCTCTCCTTATGTTAGCTTGTAACAGGGCTAAACCAGTTTGTAGACTACTGTATGTTGCTGACTTATTCGCTGACTTCAACCTTCATTTGAGAACATAGGATGGTCATTTCATGCATTGCTAGTTCTTTCTACACTGTGACAAATTAGACTTTTCAAGCACTATGTACTTTACAGCCAGAGTACATGTTGATATGTGTGGATACAAGGCAGCAGATAACGAGGAGAACCTTTATCTTTTCAAAGTGTCTGGCCTTTACTCTTTGGTCACTGCTGGGCATAGTACGGTTTATAATCAAAAACATTTCACCATAAGTTCACCAGCTAATTGTTTTTTTTTTGTCAGGCAGATGAAATTACCTAATATCTGTTTCCCAGCATGCTTTGACCTGTGTGTCTTCCTTCTCCTGCTTCTTGTTGAACTACTAAGGCTGCACGGCTGCTTTGTGATAAGGCTCCTATCATCCTATAACACGGTTCACACACTTCACACTAAAGCTGGTGTACCATATTTATTTGATCTCTTCACAGTTTCTCTATGAACTTAATTCATTTTTCAGATCGGGTTTTCTTTTTCAATAAAAGGCAAGACCGCACACTTATTCTGTGTCACAACTAATTTGATAATAATGACAACGTTATTGTACTATGTGGATCTTTGTCAAGTCAATGACAGCTGATATTTCAGCCTTGACATTCAGGTAGCTCGGAGTTGTCGCATTCATTTTAAATCAAATACAATACTTTTTTTACAACACTAAAAGGAAAATCAATTCAATTTTTGCACCAGATTTCAGTGTGGACTCTGATTCCCATTGTCTCGAGTATAGAATAGTTTTTTTTATGCGTAACATGTAAGTTGCCTCATAATGGTGTGCCTTTGTCAACAATTCTCTGTATGTGTCATCTTGAAGTTAAATTTCCTTGAACTTATAATTTCTCCTTCTCTCTTTCTTTAGTTCAAGATTTGTTGAATGTGTGTAATATGCTTCTGTAAATGCAGATAATTGTCACATGAAAAAGTAAATCCACAAAAAAGGAATAGCAAAAAACATCCAAGTGCCATTAAAAATGTAGGACCTCTCAGAAAGTTAAAATAAGACTTAAGACATTTTATGAACTTACATTTGAAAATCTAATTTAACACTATTAAGGATCTGCTGGAATTCATCATGTAAGCTGTTAAATTGTTTTAGATATCACACCACCCGTTGTCTTGTCTTTGTGAACTATGCAGACATGAGAGAAAAGTGGAGTGGAGTGAGGATGCAGCCTTGGGGGATGCCAGTGTTTAGGTTAATGTCGGAAGTGGTGTGATGACACTGTTATGCTAAACTCTGGTTGACAAACAATAATCTGATGTTCAGGTTTTCTCGGTGGTAAGGATCTGTGTAGCGCTTATGCCTTAGTCCAACTCTGAACCTAAGTAGCATGTGTTTGTTGGGGAACCTCTATCAACAGATTAGAGAAGTTGCACAGGCAGCTGCGGCACCCAATAATCTATTGAATACGCTTCTTGCCTATTTCAACAGGCTGCTGTGTTTTCTAGTGAAATTAGCATGTTCTGTGGGTAGTGCAGTCACATAATACCAGGTACCTTTCTTTGCACTTTAGATGTCCACATGTTAAGTTTTTGCGTTGTGATCCATAAATCTTCTTCCTTGCTGGTACACTTTAAGGTTCACCTTTAACGGTTAAAGATTTTTTTTCTTAGCGTCAGTGCTGTTAAATGTCACATCCACCTATGACCTGTAATTTTACTTATTCTCTTTCTTGCAGCCAACACATACTTCTTCATGGTGCAGGCTCAGGGCATCATGTTGAGGGACAATGTGAGGACCATCGGCCAAATGATCCGATTATACACCAACAAGAACAACACCCTCAACGGAACGGGTAAGTTTTACATACATTTTTAAAAACTTTGGAGTGGCCCGTATTACCTACACGTACCTAAACTCATAATAGGATCAGAGGCATTACCCGGACCCAAGTAAGCAGGGGGCTTTCAGCTCTTCATTACATTAAATTCACACCACTCTCCTTTCAGATATGTGACTACACTGAAACACTGTTAAGAAGTTAAGAGTAAGCTTCAATCCCACAGATTTGAGTCTGGCATTGTAGCAGCCGTTTTCTGGTTATTTGTTGTTTTGCATTTGTTTTTGTTGTTTGTGAACACCAGGGGACAGTGGGCACCTTGCCAAGTACATGGGTTGATTAGGAACCCTTTAAATGTACCAGGTGTGTCACTGTTGACACACCTGGTACATTGGTGATGCACCAGGAAGGGACACAGGTTTTTTACCACATGTCAATGAGACAGATCAATGAATGCAGTTGGAAATGTTTGTTTGTCTTAATTAAATGAAAGAACAAGAGATCCCAACTGGACATTCAACTTATTGCGTGCGAAAGGCCTCACTGGAACTGTGCATCAGTGGCTGTTTGTTGAGTTTTATAATTTTAACTTAAGTTGTTTTTGGACAAATAGCCACAATAGGCATGATCATACATTTTTGTGTATTGATGGTGTGTATCTTCAGCTGCAGAAAGGAGTATTATAGTATCAGAGAGTTAATTAATGTACTGACGTTTATTTAAGAGGAACTGATCAGCCTGTTTGAACTCAAACACACTGCCTTACAAACTTAGAGAATGCATTTAACACTTGTTTTGTCATTGGTAACAAAACTGTTTGACACTTAGCTTAGCCCTCATCCTGCATTCAAGAGGTGTCAGACACATCAAGAAGATGGGTTTCCCGAGTTGGAAAATGCACGTGATCGCCTGCTGAAGTCTTCTTTGTAGCATCCAGGCTGTTTGTTGTTGTTACAATATACAGACTTTCCGAATTGAAAGCATGTGAACACACTGAATTAAGGCAAGGGATTGGACCATCCGAGGAGCACTTGAACGCAGCATTAGCAAAGGTGGTGTAGAAGGATAGGACACAGGAAGTGGGTTATTGGTTGATAGATCGATGAAAGAAGAGTTACCAATACCAATACAATAAGTAGATTTTACTCCTGCTACCATTTACTTCATTTGACAACACTGGTGTCATGGAACTTGTATGCTGTGCGGTGACTCGTAATGATAGTCGTTGGAAAAGTGTGATATTTCACAGTACATGAACCCAAGTAGCATTCTATCCTGCTGCTATGCCTGATGTTAGACTGTTTATTTTCTGCAGACTATCCTGATGGCAGTAACTCCAGTGAGTACCTGGTCCAGCCAACGACGTACCTCCCTGAGAACTTCACCTACGCCCAGAACCTCCCCTGCCCAGAGCGATTACCTTCTATGAGTGAGTAGATGAGTTCCACACAGCATTCTGCTCTCACTTGTCATTGAAAGTCAGAAGTGTGTAAATGTGATCAAATCTCTTTTCTTTTTTTTTCTTTTTTTGCTTTTGCCCAGCAAATAGAGCTGTGTACAAAGTTACTGCTAGTTAAAGAAAAAATGTAATAAAGGGCAACTTCACATATGCTGCATACACATAAACTTCACGGTCAAAATCATTAATTAAAAAAAAAAAAAAAGAAGTGGCATATTGTTCAGTAAATAAATGTTATGGAGTGCTTGACTGATTGAAAGTCTCCTCAATTAAAGTCAAAGAGTGACCAGCAAAGGCTGGGAGCTTAACTACCGTACTGCTAGTAGGAGTGCAATAGATCACAGTCAGTCTGTGTACATTGTTTTTGCAATGTGAAGCTACCAGCTAACTGAAGTGTGCTAACATTAGCCTGCTAACACAACAACCCAGGCCACGGGCAATAGCAGCTCGAGCAAAGGACAACTTTGTCCGCTGCGTGTGCTAAACTCCTTGGTGCCAAAGCGAGTTGAGAGTTTGGGAGGTGTGTGACTGGAGGAGAGCGGAGGCTTCAGAATAGTGGAGGTGTGGCCAAACAGAGTTTGTTTTGGTTCCATGCTCATGCTCAAAGGCAACATCGACTGGGTCAAAAAGTCACACATTTTTCCTTAATGAACAAAGATTTGATAATATATTCTAAATGGATAAAAGCATTTTCTAACTCCTGACATAACAACAGTTGAAAAAATAAATAGCAGACTTTATATCTTAAATTCCTGAGATTTAAAGGCCTCAAGTATATCCTCTGTGTAGAAATGAAATTCTTAAGTAATCCCTTTGTGGAAGCAGCTTTCATCTACATCACGTGCACTGAGGTGGTTCTGACCTTTCCTTTGCATTATTCTGCTGAACGGGGCACACCTGATCTGTGACGAATATAAACCATTATCCTATACAACACACAGTGCACACACACACACACACACCCTGGACAGTCACACCGTGGTGCTCCTGCTGCGACCTTCCTCATTCAGTCCTACTATTAGTGAATATCAACATGACTAATAATTCACCGTTTACTTTTACACATTTTTTAAATATAAAATATACATTTAATTCATATAATGGCTGTTAAATACTTGACAGTTATTTTTTACTCAATTAAGAGATTTGCATCCGTAGTGTCACCTGGCACTGCTTGTGCATGTTTGATCTTACACAATACATACAACAACGACTTGTCTTTAAGCTTTGTGTTTTCAACTCGCCAGCACAAGTCGAAACAAATGTCCTCTCTACACAAACAGGCTCCTCCTAGAGGTGAGCGTGGAGATGCGCAGTATTACTAACGATAAATAATTCCTGTTTGTTTAGTCATCGTGATCTTTCCTACTGATGAGTTGATCGAGGCAGGTTATGTCATAAGATCCCTGGTGGTAATCAGATCCATTATGGATCATTCCTTCCCATACACCAGATTCAATACTGCTCATATGATTCACACAGAACCCCCACACAGCATGCCCTGCAAGACAATTCTCTTTTGGTAGAAGTTAAAGGTGCAAATCTGTAATATATCTCCTGAATGAAATGATAAAGTGACCTTACTATATGATCAGACATTAAGGAAACATGCTATGTTGAAGTGCTGGCTTCTCTGATAACAATGCAGCAGCCAGTATGTCCTCCTAAGTTTGAGATTCTGGTCCTGAATGCTCTGGATTTGTTTGGATCAAACAACAGACACACTTCCGTTAGAATCAATAAATAAAAACAATAGAAAGACACATCCACACATAAACAGAAAGGCACATAACAATGCAAGTCAACACAACATATATTACACATTACCCACATTGCACAAGATCTGCAAACACACCACATGAGAGATAAGATAACAGAAAAGAAAATACAGAAACATGTTGCACCACCCTCACAGCCTTACAAAACATTATTCAGAATTTTGACTGCCGTGGGAACAAAAGAGTTTTTAAAGCGGTTCACATCGGGGCACTCTGTATCGGATCCAGCAGTGCCATCTCCTCTGTTTTAATTACATTTACAACAAAGTAGTTAGCATCACACCACTGAACAAAAGTCTGTACCGCAGTTAAATATGATGAGAGGTCCATGTCTTCATACAACAGGCTGAGAATGGCAGTGTCGTCAGAAAACTTGAAATGACCTGGCTGGCTCCTGGTGCAATCAAACAAAACCCTGTGGTGCTCCTGTACTGATGGAGTTTGAATCTAAGAGTGTGTTAATGACCCTGACACTCTTGAGTTCTGTTTAAGTGAAACAGTCCTCTGCTCTCCTGGGCAGTGATTCTTTTAATGTTGTTGTTTTGTCATGCTGATCTCTTCACAGAGGGCCTTATGGAAGTCAATATGACGGAGATCCCTGTTGAAGAGAAAGAAGTCAAGTTCTCCAAGTTTTTTGACATTGATTTTGGAGGCCACTGGAAACCAAAGGACTGCAGACCTCGCTGGAAGGTGGGTTTAAGCATTTCAAGGCTACTCAATTCAAATCCTGCTGCATACAGATAAAAAAACAGAGTAAAGAATGTCGGTTTCCTTTAGTGAGTTTCTTATTTCTTACTCTTTTGCTTGTGCTGCAGGTGGCCATCTTGATTCCATTCAGAAACCGCCACGAACATCTCCCCATCCTCTTCCAGCACCTCATCCCCATGCTGCAGAGACAGCGGCTGCAGTTTGCCTTCTATGTCATAGAACAGGTACAGTGATGTTGTGTTTGCTGAAGGACACCGCTCTGAACATGAGTTGTGTGGATTGTCTAGAGAGTTGGAAATTGTTGGGTACTGCAGACAGTCTCTGATATTAAGTGAGACTGTTGAAAGCTCACATATGATGCAGAATACATTTTACCATGTTTTTCTGATACTAATATGTGTCCCTAGTCTGTCTACAAACCCCCCAATGATGAGAAAAGTCCATCCTCTCCATCTTTTGCATGCTCCACTTTTCTGAAAATGTGTGCTCAAACAGGCCCTTTGGAGGATTTCCCTTCATGACATCACAAAAGGCAGTAACCCCTCCTCCAGGTGGGTGACATGCCCACAGCTAGGTGTTTGTTCTGCTCTCTGAGTCTGCTTTCCTACTGTAAGCAATCTGGCATGGTGCACGAAAGCCGGAGCAACCAAGCCCTTCCAGAGAGGGGCGTGGTCAGACACAGCTCATTTACATTTAAAGCTACAGACACAGAAACAGCCTGTTCTGAGCAGGGCTGAAATAGAGGGCTTTATAGAATTGATACAACACAAAATCAGAGTGGATTTATAAGAAAACTTCACAGACATGTTTACGGGAGCTCTGAGACTTATTTAAACTGGCTGAAGAGGAGGAGAATATGTGACCTTTGAACCACGACTTCTTTTATTTTTCACTATCAAGAGCAGACCATTGACTCAGTGTCTGTCTATGTGTATGTGTGTTATTATGTTTAGAGCGGGAGCCAGCCCTTCAACAGAGCAATGCTGTTTAATGTGGGGTTCCTGGAGGCCATGAAGGACCTGGACTGGGACTGCTTGATCTTCCATGATGTTGACCACATCCCAGAGAACGATCGAAACTACTACGGCTGTGGTCAGATGCCACGCCACTTTGCTGCCAAGCTGGACAAATACATGTACATGTAAGTTCAAGATCAAAGTGTGGAGAGTATGATATTTGGAATTCTTGACAATGATAAATCGACTCGTTGGCTAAAGTAAACTCAGTATGTTTGTATCAGGTCATTTTATAAATGATCCAGATGAAGTGGATCTATGTTTAACTCGTGTTTGTTGATGATTGCAGCCTTCCATACAGCGAGTTCTTCGGCGGCGTGAGTGGACTCACTGTGGAGCAGTTTCGTAAGATTAATGGTTTTCCCAATGCATTCTGGGGCTGGGGAGGAGAAGATGATGACTTGTGGAACAGGTGAGTGTCTTTTAAAAGGACTGTACATCACATGCAGAAAGTACACAGACCTTTTCACGATGCATTGGTGTGCCTTCCCACCTTACATGAAGGCTATCCACTCGTTATCAGATCACCCAGGGCGGATGTTAATGTGAGGTATAAACAGGGCCTTAGAGTAGTTTAAAGACTAGAAAAGTTCTAAAGGAATCCCCCTAAGAGTTGAAGCATGCGGTACCAAACCAACAAAAGGAAAGAAAATGGTTAGCAGGAGGATGACCTTTACTCAGACTATACTTTAAACTGTCCAACGTAATTCTAACGTTGTCTGAAGGCCGTACTTCTAAATCTGTAGAGAAGTGTTTTAATGATAAAAGTGCTTGAGGCAGCCATTGGTGAATGAGGACATCTGCTGACTGACGAATCACCCAGTCATGTTTAGTATCCTGAGCGGCTGTGGCTCAGTGGTAGAGTAGGTTGTCTCTCAACCACAAGGTCAGGTATTTGATCCCCAGCTCCTGCAGCTACATGTGTCCCATGAGTCCTTAGGCAAGAAGATACTTAACCCCAAGTTGCTCCTGCTGCTTCGTGACATGCGGTGTAAAAGTGCTTAAACGCTATACAAGCTCAAGTCCATTTACAATTGTGGACTCCAGTTGACAAAACATTAAGACTGATTTCATGGGTTTCATGTAACATAAAGCAACACTTCTGAAACTGAACCATGACAAAATGTAAGACTATGATGTTAACATGATTGTTTTTGTAAACTTTGAAATATGATCACAGTTTACAAGATTGTTCAAAACATTTTCCAACAGGCTGCTTTTCTTCAACTGAAAACCAGTATTTAAAGAGGACATATTATCCCTCTTCTCCACCTTTTCAAACAGTCCCCTGTCGTCTAAATGAAACATCTGTGCTGTGCTTTGGTCAAAATATAACATGAATCAAGCACCAGAGGAGGTTTGTGACCCTGTATAAACCAGCTCTCTCTGAACACTCTGTTTTGGTGTGTGTGTCTCTTTAAATGCAGTGAGCCCCCACCTGAGTTTTCTTGGCAGACATCACTCCTCTGTAGTCAGAATAAAAATGGCAGACCTGCACAAAAGTTTTGTTCTAGGCTGGGGGTGGAGTCCATTGGTGGAGATACCAGGGGAGGGGATTTTTTTTACCAGAATCCCACTGTGACATCACAAATTCAGCAAATTTGAAACGGAGCACTTTTCTCTGTGTTGTAAGACTTATGCAGACCACAAAGGACTTGAGTTCTCATATGTCCCATTTAACAACTATACCTTTTATGAAGATATTCCTCATGTTTTAATGTTTATATGAAAGGAGGTTTGTAAACTGTACCACCTTTAACAGCTTTCGTTGAAATGACACGATCAGTCGTCCATTTCAGATTGCTTTTTACCCTGCGAAAGTGCCGTAACTGAGCTCAGACGTCATCACGTCTTTGTTCAGTCATGTTGATTTCACGACGGCTAAATCTTGATGTCCCAGTCTGTGAATTCACATTGCGTTTCAGTGTTGCGGAAGCACGGCACATTGCGAGCTCCAAAAAGACACACAGTCTGACATGCACGCAGACACAGCCCTGCTCTCCCTCGCTGGCTCAGCTGATACAGTCTCCACTCTGTAACCCCGCTGTTACTACCTCTGAAGACGGTCCAGAGGGGGGGGCGTAGTGTGCCCCCTTTACGCCTCCTGGGACATTCAGACTGAACACAGGTGTTAATATCGCGGCTCTGAATAAGGCAAATAAGAGGTGTGCTCATGCTCCTATTGGCTGAATGCAGTAAACTGTAATGTGGTGTGGCTTCTCCTCAGGGTTCACTATGCCGGTCTGAATGTCACACGACCAGAGGGAGAGATCGGAAAGTACAGGTCTATTCCTCACCACCACAGAGGAGAGGTGCAGTTCCTCGGGAGGTAAGACATGAAAAAATAAATTCATATCAATTTTTACATTTCTAATATTGGAAGATAAATTATGGGAACCGATGCATCCCTAGTAAGAACACACTATGACTGAATTTCTAGACCCAGTGAAAGTTTAACGTAATCTCTGCCTTGTAGCTAAACATCCCCTGCTGGAGGGATGGAGAACAGCATGTGGAGTGGATGAATCCTGGTATCAGGACTGTGTGCCTGTGTGTGTTTTGTAGGTATAAACTCCTGAGGTATTCCAAAGAGCGGCAACACTTGGACGGCCTCAACAACCTTCATTACACCCCCCAGAGCTCCCTCAGCAGCCTCTACAAGAACATCACAGTGGACCTGTATCCCGAGCTCGCCCCTATCGCAGACTACTGAACTGCCCCCACCGACCCGACACCACCCCCCCCCCCCCCCCCCCCCCGCCACCCAACCCAACCCAACCCCTGGTCCACGACCCCAGCTCCCCTCCGGCCTTGCCTCTCAGGGGCCCGTTCAGCCACTCCAAAGCAGAGCGGCAGTGGAGAGGAGGGGAGGGGGGAGGGGGCACCGGCCGGTCAGGGGTGAAGAGGTGCACCGTGTTATGCTGCCGAGAAATCTTAGTGAAGAAAAAAAAAAAAGAAAACATGAAGAGGCGGTGGCAAGTCTCTCAAAGTGAACTGTTGATTGTGTGTGTCGGTAAATCTGTGCGTGCGTGTGTGCGCGTGTGTGTGCGCGTGTGTGTTTGTGTGTGCGTGTCGGGTGAGTGAGTTGCTGCATGTCTTTTTGTCCGTGCCGGCTTAACTACTACAAGTTGACATGAGTCTTGGTTTTAGGTTTATTTTTATTTTTTTGGGGGGGGGGGGGGGAGCAGCAGCATCTCAGCTCTGATGTTTACTGCAAAGCCTTAATGTGGCAGAACCACAGCTCCCTCTGCTCGGCTCCGCACTGCTTCACTTCTGATGTATCACCGTCACCTTACAAGCCAACAGACAAGATCTTGTCTCTACTCTCATTTTGTTTTATACATATCATTTTGTCAGGCCGCAGCGTGCCCTCAAAAAGGAGGGCTCTGACTGAGGTCGTCATTGATGTTCATGATACCTTTTTTTTTTTTTTTTTTAATTTTCATATGTGATTATTTATTTCCTCTTGAGACGGGGGGGTGTTCAATGAAGCGCTCCCGTCTGCGTCACTCAAGTGTTTGCTGTTTGTTTTCCGCTGCACTGCTGCTGAATCCGCATGAACATGTATGTAAATATCAGCCTCTTAACGCTCGAACACAGAACACACATATGTAAATATGGGCCTGCAGAAGCTCGGGCATATTACAGTGATATTCCAGTGGGTTTGAATTTTAATTTTGGCAGCTATCTTCGTTCTGAGGATTTAATATGAGTGAGTGTTCTCTTCCTAACAGGAAGATCTTCTAACATAGGATGTTTGGCTTTAAGAAAAAAAAAAAGAAGAAAAAAGTATCCAAATCTGAAGATCTGACATGATCCTTTGCATGCCTTAATTTATTTTGTTTACCAGATTGAGTTCTTTATTTCATCATATGGAGATGTGTATATTTCTAATTTAGCCTTTTTGTTTTTCTTAATGAGGTGCACTGTGTGAAACTAGTAGAGCTGCTCTTGAGAAGGAGAGGCCGAGTCTCTCCTCCCTCGTTGACTCTGTGCAGCGAGCAGCGTCGGCCGTTACAGCGATAGCTTCAGAGCAGGCGTGTGGTCTCACCTGACTGTACATTTCCTGTCCCAGATGTTTCTATGATTTTTATTCAGATGATTTTGTGCTGGACCATGTGACAAACTTCTTCATTGTACTGTACTGTGCGCTGAAGCACAGGGATCTGGGCTGGATGCTGTGTGTGTGTGTGTGTGTGTGCGTGTGCGTGTGTGTGCGTGTGCGTGCGTCTGGACTGTGGCGTTTTCTTCTTTTCCAAGCTAGTGAAGCAGTAAGAAGGGCCATAATGAGAGAACGTGGGTGACAGCCTCTCGTGGCTGAAGCGTCTGCCGTTCTTGAATGGCGCGCGCTGTGAAGAGTTTAATTTCTTAAAGCTTTGAGCACTAAAAGACTGGAGAGAAACGTTAAAGGCAGATTATTTTTTAAAGCAGATGTTCACTGTTACGATGCTCCTCTATATCTCTTGTTTGAATTTGACCTTGAATTGTATGTTTGAAATGTTTTTTTTATTTTGATAAGTGTTCGAATATGTTGAATCAGAACTCTGGCCATTTTTCGACTGAAGCCTTACTTCCTGTTCCTGTCTCCATCAGTGCTTTGCGATCTTGTTAAGTGCTTTGGGACGAGTCTCTCTGAGGTCGCAGCATGATCTTTGGTCTTCTGTCCAAACGGTTGACCTGCCTCTCCGTTTGTAGACGAGATAATTCCGATCTTTCACATCTTTCACATTCAGAGGACAGTTGTTCCTTTTAATCGGGGCGAGACGGGACACACATCGACCAACCTGACAGAGACAAAAATCAAACTTTTTATTTTCCCTTTAAAAAGAGGGGCAGCGGATTACATATGAACTTTTCTAAGAATGTAAACAAAGAGTTATTTCTCTGTTAGGTCTCCTATACCAGGGGTTCTCAAACTTTTCATCATGCGACCCCCAAAATAACGATGCCAGAGACGGGGTCTCCCTCTGTGCCTGGTAGGGGTTAACGTGTGTAACGTTGCACACAGCAGGATACACTAATGGACCGATTTAAAAGCTGACATCAGAACAACTCCAAATAATTCAGCAGCCTGAGAATTATGAGATTATTTCCGGGTGTGTACATTACAGCACAAATCTCACTCAAGATCTATGTAGTTGATTTTAAATGTGAACAAAGTTTTTTTTTTTTTTGTGTATATAATTTCAAAATAATAGATCAAATGTCTTTTTGAGCCATTTCCAATCTGTATTTGTTTTCGGAAGACATCTCACACCCCCAAGGCATCCCGACCCCTACTTTGGGAACCACTGTCCATTACTAATGTGAGAAAAAAAAAAAGAAACGCTGTTTTATAAAAACAACTTTTTAAAACGTACACAAAACTTGCTTTAAAAAAAGGCGAGTTAAGAGAGATGAGTCGGAGTGTGAAACTGATTTAAAAGACAACAGTTACTCTGTTGAAGAGATCATCCTGTTCATTAAGAACGAACTCAAACAAATAGTCTCAGTTTATATTTGACATGACTTTTCTGAGGCTGTGATTGGCTGTTCTAACGTGCCTCCATATGCTTTCTGCAGAGGCACACAATTACCAAAGTGATCAAATCACTGTGTGACACCCCCCCCCCCCCCCCCCCCCCCCCACCACCACCACCCACCACCACCACCACCACCACCAATACTCCCAGAGGCATCAAATGTCTGCGTGCTGCTCATATTCAGAGTCAGTGGCATGCACTTTAACGACTGATGGGTAAGAGAGACAGAGGAACGTAAGTCTGAGGTATGAAATGGCCAGGGTGATAATTTTTTTTATTTATTGTAGAATCGTTTCAAAACATTTCATGGCACACGCAGGATCCTCCACATCAAATCTGCAAGGACTGTCCTTAAACCCAATCCCCCACCCACTCTTAAAAAAAAAAAAAAGAAGCAACCTTGCCGCCTTGTATATGTTTACGATATGAGTTCCCCCCCACCTCCTAACAAAAAAGAAGAAATGGACATGACTTCAGTTGACACTACTTTCAGCACTGCTCGTCTTCATGCACAAAGCTTTAACACTTCAGCAGCTCACGGCTCGGAGAGTACAGAGGAGGGGATTTCTCACTCAAGTCTGCTGACGTCTCCCTCTTTCAGCAATGCTCTTCCTTTTCTGGAGACCCGGGGACTCGGAACAGTATTGTTTTTTTTTTGTTTTTTTTTAAGAGGACGATTCTCTTGTGCTTTGCCTTTCTTAGCTTAGTACCACTTTTTTGCATAAGAGAAGAAATCCTCCCTCTCTATAGGACACGGACTGAGAAGTGCTTCATGTAGCCTGGCTGCTCACGTCGTCACGCCGTTATCCTCATGACTGCAGCTTCACAGGGCAGATACAGTGCCATGTACTTACAGGAAACCCCACCCCCACCCCATATCACTTCTACACTCTGCCAATCTTGTTCTTTTTGCCACAGTATTCAGTTCAGCAGTAATGCCTTAAATATTAATTACTGCTTGTAGTCGAGTGTTGAATATCTTAGAAGCAGTTTTCACGTTTAGTTTGCAAACGTATTCAAAGCTTATATTTCTACGAGGGTATGACTCGATCGATCCTGGACAGGGTTTTCTTTTTTACTTGTTTCTTTTTTTTTTTCATCTCCCCCTTCCTCCCTACGGGACACTCTGAAGAGCATGAACTGCATGTTACCTCTCACCTCCACACACATTACTGCTGTGCAAACGAAGTGAACCTTTGTCCGAGCTGTGACACTTTAAAGACGTGCAAAAAGGTTGACGGTGAACTTGTGACCAAGACGGGCTTCATCCAAACCTCTGTCTGGGTTTGACCTTTAAGTAAGGCTTTTAGAGAAAACAAGACATCGCTGTTGAATATCTCTGCCCATTGTGAGCGATGTGAACACACGGCTTTGACTTGTATCACAGCAACACGTGACAGTATTTAAAACTGAACAAAAAGACCAAAACAGAAATCTACAGTTGCCATAATGCCAGTTATTGCATCACCCGTTAGATCATCTGTGCCTGGAACGGGGAGACTTCATACTCTTGTAAGTGTGTCTTCTCCACGCCGTGACATCATCAGGGTAATCTGCATCCTCCTGAAACGTAGGAGAGGGACACGTGTTACACAAACCTTTACGCTTAAATCTGGTGGAGATGAATCCTTGAGAACGTAATTAGGCGGTTCCATCAAGTGTCTTCAAGTATTAAATATCACAAACTGACCCTGACAAACAGCCCCCCCCCCCCCCCCCCGGTTGTTCTGCATCTGTTCCTTATCCTGTTCATAGTTCAGAGCGCAGCATCAAATGTGACTCCATGAGAAATAAGTGTTAGAACACACAGGTAGTTGACAGGAGATGAGGTATGACAGTCGGCATGTAGCGCTTTAGATCAGAGCTGCGTTAGAACCTAGTTTGCATGGCCAAAGCCACGACTCTGTGTCCAAGAGGTGCCAAGTCTGTAAACCAGGAATCAACCTGTCCCGTTAGATTTGATCTGAATTCTGTCTGGTTCTACTCGTTCGGGACATCTTTCGGGTGTTTTGCTAATTGTTCCCAGTATTAGCTGAGGTTGACTCCACCCACTTCTTCTTATCTGACACCGTACATATGAAGTGTTCACCATTAGACAACTGTATTCCATTTTTGCAGTATTTGTTTGTGCCTTGAGTTATTTATTTTCTCTCTCTCTCTCTCTTTAAATTCAACCTGAAGAGATTAAAAAATGTTTGTTTTCTTGAAATGTTTTTGTCCCCTTCATGGTCTTCATATCGAGTCGGACTGAGTGTGAAATGTGTTCATCAAACAATGATAAATGATCCAATGACACCTTGATCTCAGTCTGTCACTATCAGTGTTTGTGCTGTCTTCACCAGAATGTGTAAAAAAAACAAAAGAAAACACCATTGGGACTGCCTGTGGGTCATGTCTCACAAGAGATCCGCCCTCATGGCGAGCGACAGAGCGGTCTTCACATTGTACGCCAGCCACTGGCAGTTCAGGTGTCATCTCATTTGCTTTAAATTGAGTAGAAACCAAAATGTTCCTTTATCTTCATAGGAGTAAACACAAGCACATAGTGTCCTTGAACACCTCTTCAAGCTCAAACTGCGGAAGATGTGAGACAAATCCACCAAAACAGCCTACATGGTCTCGACTACAAGACAACATAACGAATTCAGGATCCACTACTATCTAAATCCTGAAGACCGGAGCCGGTACAGGGAGGCTTTTGTGAACCGATCTCTGATGAGCACTCAGAGCAGCATCGTGTTGTAACGTGTTTCAGTATATGACACGTTCATCACTGGGCTGTTTCCTTTATTCTTATCCTTTATCACTTAGATCGGTGCTTCTCAACTGATGGAGCCTTGAGACCCATCAACATCGTGACCCAAAATTTCGGAAAACCTTCAGAAATGTTCAACTCCTCAGATTTATTAAATTAAAAAATGGTTTAGTTCAGACCTCAGATGCAAGAAAATGTAACGGAACAAAATTTGTTGTTTTTTTTAAAGTTGCTTCTTAGACTTTTTGCAACATTCATTTATTTCCAGGCACACATTGGCGACCCACCTTAAAATGGCTACACGACTCACTTTTGGGTCCTGACCCACCAGTTGAGAACCACTGACTTAGATTATGATGTGTACATTATTTGTCGCGGTCAAACAGGCACGCCTGACGTGAGAAAACGTTGTAGTTGACGATTCAAAGTGTCAAGCGGACTTCAAAATCAACATCTACCTGCCTTTTGTTCGCGGAGAGATCTTCAGTATTGGTGTAGATGACGGGTAGAAAACGATGTGTACCTAAAAAGAAAAAAGCCAAAGAGATGTTTGAGGTCATTAAGAAATCAGAAGTGCTTATGTCATATTATCTGACCACAAGAGAGCACTTGACATTTGTATATGAAGTGCAAAATGTCCTGCTTAGTACATGTCTGTTTATCCACCGGCCACATTCAACGGATTGATCAGAACCATTACACTCAAAATAAATCCTGTGCACAGGGGTATATAGTATATAGAACTTAAAAAGTAACTTTGAATTCATCAAATTCAACTATTCATAGCACCCCAACATATTAGTCGAGCTCCCCCTCAGCATCGGGAGAAAAAGAATCCGTTCAAAGCTCCAGAACAACTAGCTGTGATAGTCATTTTAAATCTGATTTTGTTTATAAAAACGTTGCCTTTACACATTTGTCCAGCAGAGGGTGCTCGTGAGTTACATTTTCAACTCTTCAAATAAGAGATGATTTAAGCCATCCAAAGATATGATTAATTTCCCCTTGATTAGAAAAAAACATGGTTATGTTCAATAACCTTTAGTCAACATATCAAGTCTTTGACATCCTAATGTCAAAACTGAGTTCTGTATGTCCAGCCCTCGATCTAAACTAAGGGAATATTGTTCCCCCCCCCGCCCCCCCGTATGTTCTGTATTATCAGTGATGGCCTGTGAGATTTAATGTGTCTGTCCAGCTCCGGTGTTACTAAAGAAAAAGTCTGCCTGGTTGTTCAAAAGAATATCTGTGGAAGTGTTTGGTTGGTGTTGTCTGGTGGGTGAAGGAAAACAGAGGTGTTCTGTAAACAATGTCATAAAAGCCTCATAAAAAACTAAAACAATCAAGACGGATGGCCTACTGGTTATGTCACACGCCCCATGTACGGAGGTTGTAGTCCCCCAGGGGTTCAAATCTGACCTCTGCCCTTTGCTGCATGTCATCCCCGACTCTCTCCTCATAACATTTCCTGTCTCTCTTCAGCTGTCCTCACTCATCTAATAAAGGAAAAACTGGCCTAAAAATAACTTGAAGAACAATATGATAAAACAACAACTGACAGAAGGTAGACATCTCTCATTTGTAGCTGAGCTCGGGATGTGCATTCATTCATTCTAATATCCGTTCAGGCTGAAGAATAAAGCGAGTCACTCACTGAGCCAACCCTGTGAACACATTAATGTAGCACCCTCTCTCTCTCTCTCTCTCTGCACATGTTCAGGTTCAGTTCTGTCCTGTCCCGCCCTCCTGACATCACTGAACTAAGCGGGGACAGTTTTTGTTAAGAGACAGAATCAAAACAGTTTGAGTGTGGTGTTAAACGGTTAATTTGTAAACTTTGTTCTCCTTTTCTTTGTCAACAAAGGACGAATAAACACTTCATTGTCATATCCTGGAAAACAGACTTGGAATGTGACTCGTTCTTTTCTATTTTCAATGAATGCCTATCTGACATAACATCTGATAACACTGAAGTAGAGTCTTTCTGCTCAAGTTGGAAACAGACATGAAAAAGTTGCCCGAGGCGGTGGACGCCCACTCACTGGAGGTGGTTAAGGCGGGATTGGGGACTTGGGTTGGGAACAGGATGTGGTCGCCTGTCCAAGTCCCAGTGCGGACCAAAATATTGAAGTAGGTCTGGTAGCTGGAGAGGTGCCAGGTCACTTCCCGAGTACTGATGAGGTGAACCTTGAGAAAGGCACCGAACCCCCAACCGCTCTGGTGCACTTCCTGCTCTGTGCAGTGTGTAGCAGCCCGACTCTGACATCTCTCCACTGATGCAGGTCCACAGGTCCTGTTTGTGCATGTGTGTGATTCAGGCCTGTGTGTGTAAGAAGCATGTCTCTCAATAACAGAGTGTAAACCTTCAGGGATTAATAATGTATATACATTTTTAACTTTAAAAAAAGGCCACAGTCTTGTACACACTTCCAGGTCTATCCAAACACTGATTAGAACAACACGAGGAATACAACAGCCTAAAAACCTAATATTATTTTAAATAGTCATTTATTGAAAGAAAGGCAGGAAGCGGAATGATTTTCAAGACCCAATTATTTAGTGATAGATTTAAGTGCTGAGCAGACATACTAACTGTAAGAGACATTCAGGTGAAAACGTACAGATTTTAAGTCTTTTTACACTTTAATTTAATTTTCCTTTAACTTAAGGAACTGGTTTTATTTGTGCCTGAACTATTTATTTTTGACTGTAAAGTATACACTTTAAAATGATTTTAGTATTTTTGGAAGGCAACTCGCGACCCTCTTCTTGGTGTCTCACGACCCCCCGAGGGGTCCAGACCCCCATTATGAGAACCACTGAGTTAGATAGTGCTGATAATAGAGAGTTCAGTGTATTTACTTTACAAACATTTAGTCATTGTTCTTTTATTTCATCTAATCCAGCTCAAACAGGAAGAATCTGTAACATGTTTTCACTATATAATTCAGCGGTGGGTGAACCCCAACATGGGACAGAAGAACAAGGTCTGATGGACTGAATCAAAAATTAAAATTACTGACTGAGTCTAGTACGTTGATGTGTTTTAATTAGCTTCTGAACTATTAAAACAGTCAGTGACAAAGAAGAAATATATAAATTGAGCCCTAGATACACAAAAAATGTAAAATACTTGATTCTGTTTGTACCCATAGCAACGGGCTGATATCCCTCAAAAGCAGACCGCTGTCAAGAGATAGAAAAGTGTAAGTATGAAGTGCACGCAGTTGCTATAGGGACTTGGCTCTAATCACAGACTCTGGAGGATTAAAGGGCTTGTTTTGTTTTATGTTTTTCTTGCGCTGACAGCGTTCATTTTCAAAATAAAACCAATGCAGGTCAGTTTTAACACTCAGCGCCCAGAGAGCAAAAACGCCCTCAGCGTCAGCTTTTTTTTTATTGGTCGCTGCGTCACATCGCTCTCAGTTGAAAAATGTCAACTTTATGATCTCTCTCTCTCTCTCTCTCTCTCTCTCTCTCTCTGATTTCTGATGCTATCCACTATCCTGTCTCTCTAATAAAGGCATAAAAACAAACAAAATAAATCTTCAAAAAAAACAAAGACACAAAAACTGCAGGCTATGACAGAGAAATCTACAAAGCTGAAGATGAAAAAACAACACAGCAACACACAATCCTTGGCTGAGAGGCACAGCAGTCCCAACTACAAAATCCTCCTCCTAAATCCAGCACTGGTCTGTTAAGCTGTGAGGCCAGGTGTGCCTCGTTGTGCGATCACTAGCTTCACCTGAGCTGGAGACAACCGAAGGGGACAGCACAGGGAACGACATACAGCCGTAACACACATGAAGTAACAAGTAAAAGAACGTGGTATGAGATGAAGGTGTGTCAAGTCTGGTTCATTGTCATGTGAGTAATAAAAGCTAGTTTTGTTAATGTCTTCTATGAATGCAGCTCTAACTGTAGATGCCAAATTTATTCAGCAAAAAAAAAAAAAAACATTAATCAGTGAAATAATTTACAATTTCATATTTTGTGTCAAATGATCGTAAGTAGCCGTTTAATAAGCAGGATAATGAATAGGGAGCGGATTGTTATCGTGGGAGAAACCACTTCATGGTGAGGCAAGACCCCTACGCTCTGCATCGGGGTCCTGCTCACCCGGTCAGGCTTCCATTATGTGATCGCAACTCGCTCCCTTACATAGAGCACATTCGTAGACAAGAAGAGAAAAAACAACACAAGGTATCCGACTCCCTGGACAAATACTCCCACCAATCAGTTACTGTTCACAGTTGGATGTGTATCACTAGTGTACGTTGGTGACCACTGCTGTGGTGGTGTAGGAGAATGGACTGAGCAGCAAGGCCAGGGTATAGTGACGATGACCCTCAGCGTGGGCCTCAAACACAACCTGCACACACACAAACACAACAGTTACAGATTGGCTTATTATACATAAACCCGTTTTTTTCTACCTTCAACTTTCATTGACAAACGCAGGCTTTAGCAGCTATAATGCATTAAACACCTGACATTGCAACAAGAATGATTGTTGTGAGATGGTGCCACCTTAGGAGGGTTTCCTATTGTCATTGGAAACTTTCCACATTGTGAGCCACTGCAGTGGTTTAAACTCTGTCAGACCTGGGGAGGGTATTAAAGGACAAACTCGTAGTTAATGACCTGTTCGGTGTAGACCATGGTCATGTAGAATAAGGTACTAAAAGTACGCCCAATAATGACTAATAAGCAGCCAGTATGCAACTTATTAGCACGCTAATAAGCGTATAGTTACTGGTGAATATTGTGACCTTAATTTAAAGGGTTACCAAAAGGGAAACAAGTTAGTTGACATTGGCAGCAGATGACATTTGGCCACATTGTGCTGAACAGTGTTGCCTCACTAGGACAAAAATCAGCAGTATAGCAAACAGTAGGACATGCTTATGTAAAAGCAATTTCCTGACATCAGTACTTTCTGAATGTACCTCTGTCAGTCCTCAAGATAAGATCAAATAACAGAAGATAAGCCTCCCACACAGGTTAAACAATGTGTGATAGTGTTCCTGTACTCTGTCAGAACCGTTGCTCTCTTTCAGTTTGTCTTTCTCTTGGCTTGTCTGCTGGTCTTTGTTTTTTTTTTCTTTCTGGTTTGTCCCTGTAAGCCTGGTGGC